GCATATAGGTATAGGGCCTTTTTGCAGCAGCCAAGGGGGCTGGATCCTTGCATGTAGACGTCCAAGGGGCTTGGATCCTTGCATATAGACATAGGCCCTTTTTGCGGAAGCCAAGGGGCTTGGATCATTGCATATAGACATATTTGAGTTATGTTTTCATATATTGTCACATGTAATCACTACACTGACATGGTTTCTGAATCCATGAGTGTAGAGGACTGTCCCCCGTTCCTGACTGCTGGCACCCTCCTCATCGGAAACTACATGTCCATTTTGTGGCCATGGGCGTTACACTGAATGCATGGTCTTTTGTGGTGCCCGTTCTCCCTTCATGTTGACCTGCAATCGACATGCGATTTCTCGGGAGTGTATGGTGGGCATGCTCAATGCAAGCTGTCATGGCAATTATCCTACTGAGAATGCTTAGCTAGGTCTTCCACATGTTCATCCACCTCATCCTTACGATGTATGTCCTCTCTGTCATCAAGGACGGACTGATTCTTGAACCTTTTTTCTTATCCTTTCCTTTGCTTTCATCTCCATTCCACATTCCTTACTTTCCCTTACTTTCCCTTTGTCTTCCTTTGCTTTGTCTTCTCTCCATCTGTTCTCTGTGTTTATCCCCGCCCCCTTTCCTCTGCCTCTCGCTCACAGCGTACAAGTGGGCCGTTATGGCACACAAGGATGCGGGCAGCTCACATAACTCCATCAATGTGGCGAGCCTTGTATGTAAGAGGCACAGTAACGGGGGAATTAAAACAGAATGATAAAAAGGAATGTTTTCAGTTTTCTCTTCATGTTGGTCTCATGTATTTTTATCGTTTGTCTCGCGAAGTGCACTCTTTTAGTTCTTAGATATGTGAAAATATAGAGTGCCATCTATATCGTTGTAGAACTGCCCGGTGAACCGTACGTAGGCAGAAAGGGAGACGAGGCTAACAAATGAGGGGTGGTGACAGACTGTTTCGTTGGAGTTTATATAGATAGCCGTATATACCTTACAGAATCTGCTACAAGCCTACGGCAACCCCCTTGTCAAATCTGAAATATTAGTTTACCCCCAGTGTCTCGGAGGCGTTTTTCACCCGAGGAAATTTTATCCCATTAAGTACAAATCGAACCGGATGCACTTAGGCCATCAAAAGCACCACCTCTGCGTATCCGGCCCAAAATATGAGGACAGTGCACGAAGAGACTGGTGGTTTTATTCCATTATTGCATGAAAAATTGAACATGCTATTTTGATGCCGAATTCCCACTTATCTGGCCGCCCGCCTGCTCCGCCACACGCTAGGGCGAGACCTCCTCTGGTCCAAGCCCTAAAAGGATAGTCTTGATGTAGTGCCACACGTGGTCGTGACGATGGAAGTCCAAGATAACCAATGTAAGGGTAAGACCCCACTGGACAGCGGTGCTTGGCGCCAGGAAAACATCCACCAGCCCAAAATCGTAGCCGTCGGGAATGGGCAAGTGAAAAGGGACTCCACTTCCACAGCAATTTGTGGGACTTCCCAAGGTTCCTGTTACCCAATCAGGAAGACTTGCCTTTTCGGGCAAGTTTGCCTCCACCTTTTCAGCACACCAACCAATCCCCGTGCTTCCTTTCCGCACGGGGTGGGTAAATCCAGAGGGTGTGTTTGCCTACCTTACACCGACCAATCCCCGTGCTTCCTTTCCACACGGGATGGGTAAATCCAGAAGGTGTGTTCGCCTACCTCTAGCTCGCCTACCTCTAGAGGTAGGCAAACACACCCTCTAGATTTACCCATCCCGTGCGGAAAGGAAGCACGGGTATTGGGTGGTGTGCTGAAAAAGCGGAGGTAGGCAGAGTGGAAACAAAAATGCTTCCGTTTGCCGCCTGCAGTGGAGTCCCAAAAAATGTCTTCCAAAAATTTGCCGCCGTCCAGTGGGGTCCTACCCTAACTTTCTTTCCATGGTTCCCCTCTCCTTCTTCTTACTCGTGGACTAATGAAGTCTTCTTTTTCCCTTGCATGACCAATGTGACCCCTGGTTCTAACTACCATAGCCCAACCCTTCTCCTCCTCTGTTCTCCCATCCTCAGTGGCCATGGAGGCGATGGAGATCTTTTTCACCATCCCAAGGCTTCTTCCCCCTCTCAAGATGCTCCTTGAACTCGCCCTCACGCTGAGCAGCATTGAGCCAGCAAAAAACTGCTCAAGGTGAGCTGCCCCTCTCCCCCCCCCACAAAAGAAAAGTGAGCACCACAAAGCTGTGTGACACCCCGTACGAATACGGGGCGTCCGTACGGCCCATACGGCCGTACGTACGAGCCCCCAGGTGTCCGTACGGGCCATACGTACGGCTGTACAAGCCGTTCCGGCGGCCTTCCCGGGGGGGTTCTGACACTTGA